ACACAAAGCTTGGCACCGTTCCTACATTCAGCATTGCTTCTGGATGCTCAGAGGCTAGGATGGCCAGGTATGCTTTGCTCAGCTCTGGCTGGTGTTCCAGATGGTATCCTTTTCTGGAAAGATGAATTGATTTCCAGTGCTTTCCAAGTTACATTACAACTGTCTCACATTTGCTGGCCTTCAGTTCATTCCCAGGCCCAATTCAAAATGCTGCATTTACTCTAAAGTGTAAGGCTAGCATGTCTGAGAGATCACTTCCTCCCATATAAACCTGTTCGTATTGGCATCAGACCAGATTATGTAGATAATGAACCATACAAAAATGACAGCACTGTTAAGTGTTTTGCAACAAAAAGTGTAGCCCACAAAGCCAAGAGCAGTCCCACCTACTTTTTTCACTATCAGCCCAATCCTGGCTGGCAGAAAACAGAGAGCTGGCTTCCTATTGCCATTAGTGGCAAGTAACAAGCAGCTGCTGATGACCAGACTATTGATTTTTTGTTGTTAAAGGCAGCAGGAATTCAGCAATCTGCAATGGGCCAATGAGTGGAAGGAGGAGGATCACCTTGGAACCTTGCTTAGGATTACAAGGAAGGATGAGGCGGGTAAAGGAATAAAATCTCAGTGTGTGTGTGTAAGGCTTCAGATGCATTTGAATGGATGTAGTTGCAACCACCTATCATGTGTGTCCTGTAGGGTTAAAATTATTTCCACTTATCTGAAACAGAATTCACAGAGGTCTACATACTGCCTCCCATCTGTGCAAGAATTTACAATATAGTAAATATTTGTACTATAACAAATAAATTGAAAATACAAAACTTCTAAGTAGGAAATCTGGTGGCCTGTAGAATTAGGATGGAATAACTATAATCTCATTTCAGGGACATTGCTATCCTCAATGAGTATGGCTACTGCAAGATTGTAGGTCGCTGCAAAGACATGATTATTCGAGGAGGGGAGAACATATATCCAGCAGAGCTTGAACAATTTCTACACACCCATCCTAAAATTCAAGAAGTACAGGTGAGAGGAACAGTGAGGTAGAGTTTGAGAAGGCATCAAACTCTGCTACTTGTTTAGATATTTAATATCTAAAATTATTTCAGGTATCTCACATTCTGTAATAGACACCATATATGTCCTTCAGAGAAACGATGGAGCCAGATAAGTCTCAAGAAAAGAAACCTAATCAATAGTCCTACTGGAGCTCAATCTCTCCCTCCATCCATTCAGGTAGTTGGTGTAAAAGATGACCGAATGGGAGAAGAGATCTGTGCCTCTATCAGAGTGAAAGCTGGAGAGGAATGCACGGCAGAAGAAATCAAGGCATTTTGCAAAGGAAAGGTAAGTACCACCAGATGGACGGATTTGAACTGCCTTCCTCCTCTATACCTTCCCCTGGCAACTAAAAAGAGAGAAAGAGAGTAAGAGAGAGAGAAAGAGAGAGAAATCAAATTTCAGATGGAGTCAGTAGTTAAGGTAGCAGCCATAACTCAATGGCAGAGCATGCGTTCTGTACCCCCAGTTCAGTCCCCAGTATCTCCTCCTAGGTTTTGAAAATGCTTGAAGCCATGGAAAGCAGCTGCTAATCAACTTCAGTGATAGTAGCAAGATAGCCTAATGGTCTGACTCAGTAAATGACAGCTTTTTTCATTCCTAGCCTACAGCATAACACATGCTTACTAGTGACCATTATTTTTAGCTCCATATGGCATATATTACGCGAGATGCATTGGTTGCCAGTTTGCTTCCGGGTCCAATTCAAGGTGTTGGTCATCACCTTTAAAGC